CTGGAATAACCAGCTCAAATCCTAATTGGTCTAAAAAGCCCTTCATAACTCTGAGACAGATCTGTTTAATATCACATATTGCTATTTTGGTAGAACCTCGCTGCGCCCCGGTGCTAAGTGCTGTACAAACACCTAGCAAAACCAGCCCCTACGTCAAGCAGCTTAAATCTAAAAGAGCAAAGAATGAGAAAAGAAAGACACAGAGACCCACAGAAAATCAGCGGGAGAGCTAGGGTTAGAACCCACCTCATTGAAGTTCCAGTGTTTTTTCCCACTGGCCACATTGGCTCTTCTACTATTGCAGAGAGATGAGACTTTGTTTTTCCAAGTCCCGGCACCTTCGACTGGACATTAAAATGGTCACGGCACTTTGCACAGAGCAGGGGCTTAGGAATGAATGTAAAACATTAGCCTTGTGGTCTTAGCTGTGATAAGCATCCAAAATGCTGAGCTGCTTATTTGAACATCTAGGATTTGCAAAATTTGGCAGTCCCCCAAGGTGTGTCTGGTTGAGCCAGCAATACTATAAGAGTGGGTGGTGGTTGTCTGTTCCTGGTTTCGCTTGCGGCCAGAAGAGACAAAAGGGCGCAGAAACAGATGGGTGGCAAGGACCTGATGACTCTTTTATGGAAATCGATCAGAGAGGACTGGTCTGTAATTGCTCAAGTGTTGGAGGCTGCTGGAGATGCCCCAATCTTGGCTCTTCATGGGCATTTCTACAGTGCAATCAGACTTGTGATTCCAGCCCATGCAGCCAGACCCATGCTAGCTCAGGAACCCATGGCAGCACAGGCTAGCTGTCAGACTACATACCACTGAAGGGTTTATACTAAGGCAGGTACCCCACACTACCATCCGGCTACTGGTACTCAGGCTAGCTGGAATCCAGTTAGCTCAGGAATGTATGCACATGCTACAGTCACACCTCTGATTGCCGTGTAGACATACCCTAAGTATGAGCCTGGATTAAATAAATGGAACGTCCTTTTACTGCTTTCCTGGACATTTGGGAGACATCTGGGTTCGTTGTGTCCATTGATCCAGAACGGAAGGTCTCTGCAGATAGTGGCTCTGTCTGTAGCACAATCCATTTATTTTATCAGGGTTACCCTTGGTTAACACCAACAAAAGAGAAGAATCGATGTATTTGGCTTTGCACTGTGGAGTTGTCCAGATAAGTTTCCCCTCTCGCCTAGGGTTGAAGACTTGACTTGAATGCCCCTCCCTCTTCTAGGAAAGGAGCACTGTCACTATGGTGACACAGGAGGCTCTATGGGTATGAAAGCAGCCCATGCAGATGTTAACAAATAAATGTTTCTCAGTGTTCTGGGGTTCTGGAGTTCAGCAGAGAAGAGATTCAATTTGACAGAGGTATCCGAGGTGGAAATAAACATATCATTAGCCCTTTCGTTTGTCGTGTACAAAACTGCATGACGTCCCCGAAGTTCACTCTATCTTAGTTAATTTAACTACTGGCAGAATCTGACTTATTTGGGGCAATTAAAGTATAATCTTTCCTTAAAGAAGCACTTTCACATTGGGGAAATCTCTCAGCTGTCTCACTGCGCTGAATTCCATTTACCTTTCATCTGATTTTCACAATTCTCCATGCCACTTCTGCTAATTAGCAAAAGCCATTTGTGCTTTATTTATCTCTGTTACTTCCTACTCATAGCTTTGGGTGCACATACACACTGCCATAATCAAAGCAAGCAACAGAGTGCAATTTGGACCAATTTCCAGATGGAGCCCTCCTCTACCCACCCAAACAAATGTCTTCCAGCATCTGCTCCCAGCCACTGAGCCCTCCACCCTAGAAAAAGAAAAGACTTTGCAACAGGACAACCATGGATTCCAGGGGACTAATGAGAAGTGAATTCCAGACTACTCCACACTGAAAATAGCCATTTTCTAGCCACTCCCATTTCAGTCCGGGGGCTATAAAGTCAAGCACCATTGGCAATTTCACACAGAGAGGCAGTCACTGAGCCAACTAGAACAAGTTATTTATCTCTCTACGGTATTTAATAAGGATATTAGTGTATAGTCAAGTAAACGTTTAACCTATAAGCCTAAGCTTAGCGGTTAATCGTATCAACTACACACACTCCCCCTCTCCTTGCTGCCTCTGCATCAGAGGCAGCAAGGAGGGGAGCGGGAGCTGGTGCCCATGAGGAGCTGGCTTTAAGCAGGCTCCCCATGAGCACTGGATCCGCCTACTCCCCCACACATTGAAAGAGGCAGCAATGCAGAAGTTAAGGGGAGCAAGCAGGAGGCAATACTTGCAGGGTGCTGGCTTTCAAGCCAGCTCCCCATGCGTATCGGCTCCCACAGACCCACCTGCCCCCCCCTTGCTGCCTCCCACAGCTCCCACGGACCCACCTGCCCCCCTCCTTTGCTGCCCTCCCACCCTGCACTGTTTCCTCAACAATATTTTATGCAGTTACACAACTATGGAATTACACAATATCTAACATCCCTAGTATTGAAATGTGCCCCCCATTAGCACACTATCAGCATCTCTGCATCATACGTTCATCTTCGCAGCAGCTCTACGAGGCAGGGAAGTGTAGGGTTCTCCACCGGGACATTCGTCCTCCTATGCGCTAGAGTTCTACGTGCGAACATGAACACTGCGAGTTGTACCTAGAGATCACGTAGAAGTGAGGCCAGACCCCACAGTGCCACCCATCCCCTGTGCATTAAGCAAAGGGGGCGCATTCTGCACTAGCCGAAGGTTCAGAATGGTCTTCAGCTGTAGCGCTAGCAAGCAGCTGGGCAAGGCAAGTGTGTTGCCTGCAAAGTGGTTATTAAGGGGGACTTTTTTGCAAATGTTCTTTTTTGAGTATTTTGTCCCCTTTGGCTCGGCAAGAAGCACGTGTACCAAGTCTTTCATTAGAGCTTTTGTTCCCTCTACCATCTTTGTTCACGAACTGACCCAAACTGTTCTTCCTTTTAATGGGCCCTCTAGATAGTTCGTTGGGCTTGTGACAAAATTTTGATTAGCTGCAAATTTCTGAAATCCTGTTAACTCTTCCTGGGTTTTGGCTTACTCAAGGGTTTTTTTTTCCCCCAAAATATATTAACTTTTGGTTTTGAAATTTGTAGTTCCTTTTTTTCTACATTATCTTTTCTTCCCTTTGTTCTTTCCCTTTCCTTGTACTTTTTTTCATTTTTGCACATATTTTGGCACTAAAAATAGTGAAGGGGAGGAGGTAAAGCAATAAAACAAAAAAGTTTCTGTTTTCTAATTTCATCATAACAGAAAATGTAAACAAAAATAATGAAGTTGCAAGAATTTCCAATTTTGGAAAAAGGGCCATTTTTCATCTACATTTTTTGGGGGAAAAAACCTGGGCTTTGGAATTTCTTTTACTTAATACAGGTTTACACTAGGACTTTATTTTGAAATAATCCCCCTTAGCTTATATTTGTAAACAGAGCATGCACACCACCAAACACACTATTTCGAAATAACAGGCTGCTTAATTCAAAATCTGTACTCCTGCTTTTCCTCAGGAATAATGCTCATTCTGAAATAAGCTTGTGGGGGCAGCCTAGTTAGTCTGTACAGAGAAAAACAACAAATGGTCTGGTCGCACTTTATAGACTAACAAAACATGTAGATGGTATCATGAGCTTTAACTCCGGTCATCTGAAGAAGTGGGCTGTGCCCACGAAAGCTCATGATGCCGTCTACATGTTTTGTTAGTCTATAAAGTGCGACCAGATCATTTGTTGTTTCATTCTGAAACAGTTATTTTGAAATAGTGGGAATGTGGACACTCCGGTGCCGCTCTTTTGAAATAACTACTCTCCACAGTAATTCAAATTAATTACACCCCAGTGCTTCCTGGGGCTCTAAGTCTAAGGTCTAAGTCTAAGTCTACCACATTATCGCAGCCTGCCTTGGACTAATTTTGATGCTTCTCTGTAGTGAGGACATGCTAATTTGTTAAATCGGGACTTATTAAGTTGAATTTAGTAATTTTGAAATAGTTTCCTAGTGTAGACATGGCTTTAGAGTTTTTGTAAATATGCATCCATTAGCAATGCACAGGTAGGCTATACTTGTTATGATTTCTATTTGAGATTTTCCTCCTGCTCTGTGCTTTATAGAAACGCAAATGCAATTGCATTCCTCTGGTGCTTTCTTTCAGCTAACCAGTGGACAATAAACCGTTATGACCAGATTAAAAATAGGAAGTTTAACAATATGAAGTGCTCATGTCTGCGGATGCTGTAAGAGGTCACTAGGCAGAGAACCCTACTGAACAACCATTGGTCTACAAAAGGCTATAAAAAGTGCGGCTTAGTGGAATTCTGCCCAGTCAGATGGGTCACAGTCAGGGATTTCACCTCACTAGCTCCTGTTTCCATAGACACATGAATTAGCCGGTGATAGCAAATGGATGCAACTTTGACTTTCAATGACACAGTCATAACAATAACAGCACTTCTGTCACACTTTTCACCAGTAGAACTCACAGCACTCTATGAAGGAGGTCGGTATGATCACCCCCATTTTAAAGATGTGGAAACAGAGGCACAGAAACTTGCAAAGTCGCCTAGCAAATCAGAAGCACAGCTGGAAACAAAATCTAGGTCTCCTTAGTTCCAGTCCAGTGCCCGAGAAGCATAAACCCACATAATAGCTACTTCCAACCCATCTTCATCAGTCCACTTTAACTTGGGCACAGATACAGACTGATCTACACTTAACACTTACATCAGCCTTATAAAATCACATCTCTGAGCACCACCGTTAAGACAATCGATGTGCCTTGGTGTAGGCACAGCCATATTGCTGAAGGAATTCTTCCACTGACCCAGCTGTCGCTGCTTAGAGAAGCTGCCTCTATGGATAGAAACCCCCTTTCCCAACAATGTAGGACATATTTGCACTAGCACAGTGTAGGTGCAGTGCTGCAGCCAGGCCACCACAGAGCTTGTAGTGTAGACATAGTGTGAGCCAAATAACTCTGGTTATTGTTTTTCAGATGACAGAGCAGATCTGGTACTTAGCTCGACTTCGGCTGGACAGTTTGGTAGAAGCAATACCAGCAGATCTTTCCAGCCAAATGAAACTGGCAGGGGAGTGGCCTAAATATTAGAAGATTCACACCAATACTGAGGTTTGCGTGGCCTCAAAAGGAGAAGTGGTAGATGGATCTGACAGAGGCAACATTGTGAAAGATCCCATGAAAACTGATCAGTCTTTGAAATTAATGGGCAGTAAACTTATCAAAATCATACTCTTCCACACATTGTATTCCTCCAAGCCCTTTTCTTTTGCAATCCCAGAACTCCTGGAATTAAAAGCAATAGCTGGAGTTTTTAAAAATGCTGGAAAATCTTGCTAACGATGAGCCTGAACCAAAACTTCACATCTGAGGCCGTCTCAACTCTGGATCTTGATTCAGATCCATTTCAGAACTGGCCCCTTTATCTTTGAAAGAGGCAGATCTGAATACCTTGGAACGTTAAGGAAGTTTAGGTCTTGGCCTGAAGGTTGTAGCTTGGGCTAAGGTTACCAGGTAGCTTCAGAAAAAATACTGGACACACTACATCCTGAACCAAAACTTCACATCTGAGGCCGTCTCAACTCTGGATCTTGATTCAGATCCATTTCAGAACTGGCCCCTTTATCTTTGAAAGAGGCAGATCTGAATACCTTGGAACGTTAAGGAAGTTTAGGTCTTGGCCTGAAGGTTGTAGCTTGGGCTAAGGTTACCAGGTAGCTTCAGAAAAAATACTGGACACACTACATGTGGGGGGCGGGGGGGAGGACTGGCTGGGACGGGAGCAGGGCTGGCTGGGAGGAGGGATGGGAAGCAGGGCTGG